TTTTTGTTTTGTTTTTGCTTATTTTGATTTCACATCATGTTTGATGGAAAGAAAATCCAGACTTTAGATTAAATCTGAGCAGGATGACAATATTACATTTATATATTTTTTTAACACAGGCACCTTGTATGGATCTTTTTGTGTTTAATTTTCTTTAATTAAAAGACCTAAATATGTTCACCTGAAGCCTCCATGACAAATAGGGAACAGCCGTCATGATCCTGGATCTGGTCACCCAGTGTTTATGTGTTGATCATTAATATTCTGTATATTTGTGGTTCTTGTGGTTTAGGGTTTTTTTTTGTATTTATAGCTTCCTAAGTTATCTTTAGTATTTTGTGATTTGTAGTCTTTAGGTTTGGTTACTGTGCCTCCATTGTGTTCCTTGTGGTATGTCTAGTCACCCTGGTTCCTATGTTTGTGTATTTCCCGTTTTACTTTGACAGTCACGTGTCTTGTGCTAGAGTATCTGGTTGTTAAGTGATGATTTATGAACCTAGCTTAGCACAAATATAGAAACATCCTCCAAAGAGCTGCTTTTTACTTTCTTGCTTTGAGTACATTTCAGAGACTTTACTTTTTTACTTTTACTTGAGTATAGAAGTTGAACCCAACTCTGCCCTATCACGTGCAAAGTGCTGTTTGGGAAGGTAAGGCCGGCAGCAGAACTTCCAGCTTTAAACCTCACTTTCACCAGGCAGCATAGAGGGACATAGAGAGACAAACTGTGATGTACTGTGGTAACAGGCTTTGTTAATTAGTTGTGGTCAGGTTTATACAAAAAAACATCCCATTTAATCACTGAGTTATAACTGAAACTGCCCTATGTATGAAACAGTATTTATAAGCTGTCAGACGAAACCTTCATGAAACCTACCATCATCATCACCTCTCACTTCCAGCCAAATCTCCGGTGACTCTCCTTTTGTGGGATGAACACACTTGTAGGAGCCTTCGTTCTCCTTGGACACATGGATAAAGCTCAACCTTCCGTCAGACCTTTTTTCAATAAAAGTACCATTTCTGTAGAAAGCAGCACTGAAATTGGACGTAGACTCCTTTGCATATTTTTCCTTATAGGAGCAGTTTAGTGTCACACTGTCTCCCTCAGTCAGAGGAACAGCAGGACCCTGCAGGATGACACCAGCTGAAATGCAGAGAGAGAAACTGTGGTCTCTGACTCTGGTTTTGTCCTTGGTTACAAAGTTGCAAAAATGTGTTAATTTTATTTTCTTTAATATAAACTATTTGGCATTGCAAGCTTACTTGTCACTGTGATGTTGATGGTGTTGCTGCACTCCCTGCTGTCAGACTCACACCAGTACACTCCACTGTCTGATGGGTAGACACCTTTGATGGTGCAGGATGATCCATTTAATTGGCCCCAGGTCTCACATGA